TCCCAACCTACTTCAAGGGTTACAGTTTAATAATTTGATTTTTATCATCTTATGGATTCAGTAATCTTTAGATGAAATTTGTGTGCTTTAGAGAGTTCATCCCCTTTTGTTTAATGGAGTAAATAAATTCTAAAATAAGTAGTCCAAGCTTTGTTTACGCTTTAATTTGGATGCCTAGCTTCGCTGATGTACTGAAGAGGCAATATAATTACAATCTTGAACAAGCTTCACAATAATATCCCTTATCTTTTTTTTTCATTATATAAACTCTTAATGAACCAGCTGCAAAGCAATGGGTTGCTAAAAGCTTTCCCTTTAACTCACACATGTAGATTTCATGTACCGCCTCATCTCCCTATGTGTATGCAAACCAAATTCTTTGTATGACTTGGCAAATGTCCTTGGTTCTCTGAATAACAGATATATTTAGAAAATTCTAAAAAGTTTTGCTTGTTATGATGCCTTGTTAATGTTTTCCCCCAATTATGATGTTGCATGCTATTTCATATATGTGACTTAAGGTTGTGATAAACTCAGTAGGAGACACTTTTGACAAGCTCTTAAAGGTGTAACATTAGTATTTTAGATAATTATGTAGGAATTCATATTTAATAACTGAAGACACAATGTTATAAGTTAAAGAATACCACTGTATGCACCATTCAGTAAAAAACTTTAGCAGGATCTGGTCTGACCTGTAGCTATAGTCATGTTAAAGGCCATTCTTGTTTGTCTAAACATTGTTTTTTTTTTTGCAGGCCTGAGGCACTAGGTCTTGTTGTGGGGATTGTCTACTTGGTTATTGCTATTATATTTCAGCAGTTTCACTATGCCCCAGACTCCATTGTATGCCGTGACTAGCAGTATTGTTTTGACATTTACAAACTATGTCTTATGTCCTGAAGCATATTTCACAGTGGCTTTTGATGTCTTCTTGTTGCAGTGGCTTGTTGAATATAATGCAGCGTTGACATCAGTCTGCTTTATGATTCTTCTTGGATTTGTTGATGATGTTCTTGATGTTCCATGGAGAGTGTATGTTGCTTGTCAGACTGTCTTTCTGTTCACTTAAATGGTGATGTGCTACCACTATTGTGTTGCTGATAAATTGTTTTTCGAAATGTCCTGCATTGAAACAGGAAACTGGCGTTGCCAACGTTTGCAGCACTCCCATTGCTGATGGCATATGCTGGTGGCACTTCCATTATCATTCCAAAGCCTTTAACTCCTTATGTTGGACTAACAGTTTTGGAGCTAGGTATGTGTATCCGCTTAAAGCAGGTTGAAAGTGTATATTTACTATTTGGTGGTTGCAGCATTTGTGTTTGTTTTTTTGCTGTTATACAACCAGGAGACAATTATAGAAATCCACAGGCATAGCAGACCTCACTATGAAATCCTTAGCTTGTTAGTCATTCACTCTTGATTATAACTCATAAAATAGAATGTGTTTGTCAGTGTCTATGTTCTTCAACACCATATTTTATCTACTATAGTGTCTATCAAGTCTTGCCTGCTGATACTGTTTTATTTTGTTCCTCACTTTTGTGGCCTAGGTTCCCTGTTAGTCGTTGATCTTTAGCTTTTTTCCATTGTCCAAATAAGCCCTCCACTTTGGATCTTTGTCCAAATGTGCCACTCCTTATAGGTCAGTGACTGTAACTTATCATGTTTCTGGAAAACTGAAAAAGGTTTTTTGTGGAATAGTTTTACATTATGCAGTCTTTTGGAGATTTGTGGACTTTAGAAGTTTACTTTATTAGATCATCAGGATCACAGATTCATATGCTTACTATCTCGTGCAACTCTGTCACTTGTATTTTTAAGAGACTCACAACCTGTTTGTTCACATTTTGATAGAATCTGATATTTGCGTTGACTGAGCATGATAATTCTGTAATAGCGTAATGTTTTGCTTCATTACTGGCGACAATGCTTTATGCCTGGTGTGTGGATGTTGATTGGTAGGCATACTAGATAATAATCTGTCTTCAGTGCCTGTTTTCGTGAACTATTTGCAAAAATTTCCTCAGTTGCATGATTACTTATGTGCGTTTACTTGTGAAGCCTATTTCCAATTTCACCTCTGTTGCTGAACCCTGTTTCTGATTCTGTAATCAGAAGCTATTCTATACACTGATCTTTTGTTTCCTTTGGCATGCAGGTTTATTTTACAAGCTATTCATGCTCTTGTTAGCAGTCTTTTGTACAAACTCGATAAATATACATGCTGGCCTAAATGGACTTGAAGTTGGGCAGACAGTTGTTATATCTGCTGCGGTATAAACAAAATATATTCCTTTTGTACATGAATTCTGCATACCACTCATGTCCTGATGGTGTGTGGCCTTTCCCAGGTTTTGATACATAATGTAATGCGCATAGCATCTTCTACAGACATTGAAACTCAGCAAGCTCATGAATTCTCTATTTATCTTGTCCTGCCTTTCCTAACCATTTCATTAGCTTTGCTAGCTTTTAACTGGTAAGGACCTTGAGAAACACACTAGATCTGTTTAAATCGGAGTTTTGTTTGTCTCCTTTTTTTTCTTTGGAGAAAAATCATGACATTTATGCATCAGGTACCCTTCAATTGTTTTTGTTGGTGATACCTACACCTATTTTGCTGGAATGGCTTTGGCTGTGATAGGAATTTTGGGACATTTCAGGTAAACATCTTTAATTATTTCCTACAAATTTCACTAGTCTTTATTATTTATCAGTCAAGAATACTCAGCCAGTGTGATCTATGTTGTCAGTTGTTTTCTTGTTTGGATGCATGTGCATATAAGCATTTCCCCTATTTTTCTTTTCTGGCTTTTCATTCTTTTACTGCATCTACGTTTTTTTTTGTGTTGCATTTTCCCATTTTTTATCACGAACTTCATAGGGTGGATATGTGTCAGGGTGGAAAAGCTATCTTCGCTGTGAGCCCAAACTTGTGCCATCGACACTGTTTATGCTCATCCACCTGACATCTGTAGCATTAGTGTGCTAGATTTACATACTGACATGCAGTTCATTTTACCTATTATCATTTGTAATAACTGAATCTGATCAATGACCGTTTTGAGTTTGCAGCGAGACGTTATTGCTCTTCTTTTTACCTCAAGTTCTAAATTTCTTGTGTTCAGTCCCACAGGTCAGGAGAAATAGTTTTCATTTAATTTCTTTATTTTGACTCTGAGATATGAGTGTTTTGTAGCTGAGTAGGTACTTGATATGCTTAAACTTCAGAATTATGTCTTTGTTTCCTGCAGCTCTTTCACTTTGTTCCTTGCCCAAGACATAGGTTGCCGAGGTACTTTTCTGTTGCTTTGACCTAAAAACCATGAAAAGAACTTATTACGCTATGAGTTCTTATGGAGTTTCTAAAATATGCTTCCATCCACAGGTTTGATCCTGAAACGGGTCTTTTGACTGGTACAAAAGATGGGAATCTAGTTAACATATTCCTTAGGTTATTTGGAAAGTGCTCAGAGAAGGCCCTTTGCATAAGGCTCCTTATTTTTCAGGTAGACTTGAAATGCACTCTTGCTGCAGACTACTATTGTACTATGTTGCAAACTTGTTTCTTGACTTCTGAAGATCTTGTGAACTGGCTCTGTTTTTATTATTTGGTTATGCTGCAAAGAAGTCATAATTATTCACATTTGCAAAATTCTTATTCTGAACAGGTGATAAGCTCTTTTCTAACAGCTAGAGAATAGACGAAAGAACTAAGTTAATTAGATGTTTATGTTGAACTAAGTAAAAGTTTCATCAGTTAAATCTGAACTCAGACCTGGCATTAACAACCCTTTCAGAGTGCGCGTCAATGTAAATCAGCAGAGTTGTCTGATACGTAGCACGACAATAGCTATACAACAATAGCTATAAGTCACAACTTGATATATCTGCATTGTGATGTACAATAGCACGACAATAGCTATACGGCAATAGCTATAAGTCACAACTTGATATATCTGCATTGTGATGTACAATCACGTGAATGCATTGTGTTTGCATTTCGTTTGGGGATCGATCATAACCCTTCGTCTTCATGTCTAACAGGCTCTATGTTGTGTATTCTGCTTCTGGCTAAGATACATGCTTACCGGATGGTACAAGTGATCACCTGGGAAAGGCTCTCCATCTTGTCGCCCAGCTCGTTTGAAAAATCAGTTGCATCTGATGGCTGTTGTTTTCGTCGACATACTTGTAGACTAACCACCCAAAATTTCCAGTAGTATTCACGCAGTAGGTTTTGGATTCGTTTCCTATACTTGTGCTAACTACATTTTCCAAAATTTTGTAACTATATATGTACAATGCCTTTGGCTTCAAGGAAGTTTGCTGCACGCCTGAACTCTCTAGTCTGTATACTTGTGTACCAAGAGCCTGATTCTTGCCTGATATCATGTTTAGTTTAAGGAGTGGGACGATGGAATTGGAAAGAGAAAAATGTATTGCAGGTCCTTAAACTTTTCTCGAATTCGTATTTGGGTCCATAAAAGTCCACTCGTGGACCTAGATAATCACTCTGAGAGATCACACACCTAGATGAGAATACGAGAAAACTTTAGCTTTGAGAGTTAAAAGAGACCTATATGAGAATTCTAAGAAAAGTTAAGAAACGCACCGTGAATTTTACTCTTTTTTTTTGTTTGGCCTGATCACGAAGTGGTTTTATGTGATGGAAAATGGTGCCTTTTTTTCATCACCAAAACAAAGATCAATATATGGATTGATGTATGCCTCCATGATCCATGAATGACTACTATCATATCCTAGATAAGTAGGATGACATCATTGATCATGCTAAACACAATGGGTTGTGTTAGCCCATTAACTGCTACTGCTACTATCTTTAGAAGCTTAATCAATGTCAAATACGGGAGGCCACTGCGCGTCTCCCGCCCCGCCACCCTTCCAACCAACCGCTCCCTCCCCTTCCTCCCTCTCCACGGCGATCGCGCCCCCCAGGCCCAGAGGCCAGAGCGTCGCGCGCCAAGGGGAAGATGCTGAGCTCGCTGAGCTCGTCGGCGTCGAGGCGGGAGGCCGCGGCGGCAAGGGCAACCAAGAGCGGCGAGGTCCCCAAGTCGGCCGCCATCTCCTGGAAGGACGTCGCGGCCACCGCCAGGAGCGGCGAGCTGTCCAAGGCGGTGGCTGGCGCCGAGCTCTCCAAGTCGGTGGCCGCCGTCAGGGAGGCCGCGGCCGTGCACCACGAGGGATGGATGGTGCGCTACGGCCGCCGGAAGATCGGCAGGTCCTTCTTCCACACGCGCTACTTCGTGCTCGAGAGCAGGCTGCTCGCCTACTACAAGAAGAAGCCCAAGGACAACATGGTACGACTCGATTGCCATTTCCATAGGTGCTAGGGTTTGTTCTTACAGGAGCTAGAGCCTCCAACCTCTGAACAGTTCGGTCGGTTTTAATTGGGTGCCCAATGTGGGTTGCCTTTGTCTTTGCCTAGGATTACAATCTGGTAGAACATTGGGTGCTCCCTGTTGCAAACATGGGAGCCTGCTGTTATATCACCCAAAACAAAGTGGTGATCCATTAAGCACGATGATTATGTTTTCATTGTTGCAATTAATTATGTATCAAAATCGCCGATTAGTCAACATTAAGTTTTCGATTTTAATTATTTTTCCTTTAGTTATCTGCATTCGTGCTGTTTCTGATACTGTACTATGAACTACTCTCTTAGTTATGCTTGATTTCCCAACATATTATATATTCATCCTACCTGCCACCTGAATCGCATTAGCACCAAAGTATCATTTCTGATGTTTGATAACTTCTGTGAAATTTATCATTTTGCATCCAGGTGCCCCTCAAGTCGCTGCTGATAGATGGGAATTGCAGGGTGGAGGATAGGGGGCTCAAAAATCATCATGGGCAAGTGAGTTTGGCCTCCAGTTTTGTTTACTAACTTGAATTGTGAATGTTATGTGGTCAGTAATCTTCATGTGTACTATATCCTGCTACAAGAAGCTTGGTAGATGCCAGTTTGTTCCCTTCCTTTTTCTTCCTAAGAAAATGAAATACGCCATAAACATATATGTGTCTGAGATCATCTTCTTGTATGACAAACTGATTGTGAAAAAGGGTCCACTACCATCTCAACTACTATATAATGCACCTCACTAAGTACATGCGGATGTATAGGATGCAACAACAACCAAGCACTTTAAAACCATATAATGCACCGCACTAAGTGTTCCATGGCATGTGATTTTTCTACTATCCTTGGCAATCGCAGTTGGATTTTCCTGTGCTTATTCTCATCCCTCCCATGGGTTCTTTTTCAGATGATTTATGTTCTCTGCGTTTATAACCAGAAAGAGAAGGAGCATCAAATAACGGTTAGTTGAAGTAGCTTCAACCATTAAACAGAACCACAATCCTCCCTGATTTATCTAGTTTTAAGTGACAAGTACTCAATCCACAGATGGGTGCACATGATATTGAAGATGCATTGGCCTGGAAAAAGAAAATAGAGCTCCTCATTGATCAGGTGCAGTAAGTCTCTGTTTCAGCCCCATTTTTACAGCTATGGCACAATTGCTACAAGCATGTCTTGAGAAAGCTTGGATTTCATATGCCCTTTTCCGTATATTATTTAGGTTGGTTAACAAGTTGATGATTGCGTATTAGTTTGGTAATTAGATAGTAGGCAGTAATGTTTCACAGTAAATCACAGTGATAGAATGTGATATGAGCTTCTTAGATCCCATAGCTCACTGCGTCAAAAGTACTTGACCAGTTGGTCACTGTCTTCAGAAAACTCGCAACTTAATTAAACTAAATAGCCGCTGAATCAGATGCTAGACAGCACTGTATCTTAATTCGTTTTGCATGAACATTGCAAAATCAAGGACACTGTCAAGGGCGTCGATGCCCAAGACAGCGGGTCCTCGGCTACGGAGCTCGTAGCCTTGACGGGTAATGGCGTCGGGGTTGTTGCCCGGCTGCCCAATGGTGAAGGAGGTGAGATTAGGAAGAAGAAGGAGGATTAGGGTTGATCATTCTTGCTTCCTCCAAAGAGTGCCGATTACATGAATTACATAGGCCCGTGGCCTGCTAACAAAAGGAAACAAACTCCTTTATTCTAGCAATATTTGATTGTCGATCCGCATGCCTGCATGTCTAAATCTGCTCCTGGACGCGCGGCCGGCGTCGGTACTGGACGCCCCACATGACATCTCTCCCCCCCTCGACGAGCAGCTCGTCCTCGAGCGGAAACGTGGGGTAGCGGGCGACGAAGCTGTCGAGGTCTTCCCACGATGCTGATGAAGCGGGTTCGCCCTTCCAGTGAACGAGCAGCTGGCGAACGCCACGGGTAAGGCGAGCGCGCGTGACGCGGTCGGGCTCCGGGACCGCCGCTCCGTGGTGGATCGGCGGTAGGGCCGGTGGCGACGTCGGGGGCGTGCTGACGAACTTCTTCAGGAGGCCGATGTGGAAGACGTCGTGAAGGCGGGCGCGTCTGGCAGCTCCAGGCGGTAGGCGACGTCGTTGATGACGGCGGCAACGCGGTACGGCCCGTAGAAGCGGGGTTTAAGTTTGCCCGTGGTCGGAGCTTGGAGGGACGCTGCGGCACGCTGACGGAGGCAGAGCCAGACCCAGTCGCCGACGGCGTAGTGGACCTCCCTGTGGTGCTTGTCGTAGTAGGCCTTGTACACCGCCTGAGCCTGCTGAAGCCGGTAGCGGACGTCGGCGAGCAGCTCGTCACGTTCCGCCATGGACTTGGCCACGGCTGCAACCCTGGTGTCGCCGGGCTCGTAGGAACGGATCGTGGGCGGGTCACGGCCGTGGACGATCTTGAAGGGCGTGTCCTTGAGCGCCGTCTGGAACGCCGTGTTGTAGATGAACTCTGCCCATGGGAGCCAACGTACCCATTGCCGAGGACGATCACCGGTGAGGCAACGGAGGTACATGACGATGATCTTGTTCGCGGCCTCTGTCTGTCCGTCTGATTGCGGGTGGAACGCCGACGTCATGTGGAGCTTGGTGCCCGTGAGCCGCATGAGTTCGCGCCAGAATGCCAACGTGAAGATGGGATCTCGGTCGGAGACCATAGACTGCGGGACGCCATGGAGGCGTACAATCTCTGCAAAGAATGCCCGGGCCACCGACTCCGCCGTGTACAGGTGCGCGAGGGGGATGAAATGGCAGTACTTGCTGAAGCGGTCCACCACCGTTAGGATGACAGACTTGCCGCCCACGCGCGGGAGCGCCTCGATGAAGTCGAGGCCGATATCAGTCTAGACCGCCGTCGGGACGGGCAGCGGTAGAAGGAGACCCGCGGGGTGCAGGTGCTCGGACTTGTACCGCTGGCAGGTGGCGCAGGCGCGGATGTGATCTTGCACCGTCTTGCGAAGGTTGGGCGAGTGGAAGTCCCGTCGGAGGCGATGGAGCGTGCGCTGAACACCCTCGTGTCCGTCGTCGTGGACGGCGGTGACCACCTCGTGGAGCAGTGGCGATGCCGGCGGAATGTAGAGGCGGCCTTTGAATGCAACGAGGCCGTCGAGGAGCGACCAGGGAGACGCGCGTGTACCCGCCGCCAGCTCGTCCCTGAGCGCCACCAGAGCCAGATCGGTGGACGTAGCTTGTCAGAGACGGTCGATGTAGTCGAAGCGGGGGCCCGAGATAGCCAGGGCCACAGCCTCCTCCGTGTCGCGGCGAGAAAGGGCGTCCGCGACTGTGTCCGTGTTCCCCGCCTTGTACTCGACGGAGAAGTCGAAGCCGAGGAGCTTGCCCACCCAGTGGTGCTGTGGAATGGTGGCCAAGCACTGATCCAAGAGGAACTTGAGACTGAAATGGTCAGTCCTTACCACGAAACGGCGTCCCCACAAGTATGGCCTCCAATGGCGGATGGCGAGGACGATGCCGATGAGTTCACGTTCGTACGCCGCCAAGGACGCATGGCGTGGCGCGGTCGGCCTGCTGAAGAACGCCAGCGGGTGCTGGTCCTGGAGGAGCACTGCGCCGAACTCGTAACTGGACGCGTCGCACTCGACGACGAAGGCGCGGTTGAAGTCGGGCAGGGCGAGAACAGGCGTCGTCGTCACGACTGTCTTGAGGGCGGCGAAAGCCGCAGCAGCTTCCGGTGTCCAGGAGAACCCTTCCTTGCGGAGGAGGGCTGTCAGGGGGGCGGCGATCGTGCCGAATTCCCTGACAAACTTGCGGTAGTACCCCGCCAGGCCGAGGAAGCCCCGGACCGCCCGCGCCGAGCGAGGCTGCGGCCAGTCGGCCACTGCTTGGACCTTGGCGGGATCCATGGCGACACCCGCAGCGGAGATGATGTGGCCGAGGTAGGAGATCGATTCGACCCCGAACGCGCACTTGGATCGCTTGACGAAGAGCTGATGCTGCTGGAGCGTGCTGAGGACGGCGCGCACGTGGCGAAGATGATCGGCCCATGACTCGCTGTAGATGAGGATATCGTCGAAGAAGACGAGGACGAAGCGGCGTAGGAAAGGTCGCAGGACGTCGTGCATGAGCGCCTGGAACGTCGCCGGCGCGTTGCAGAGGCCGAACGGCATGACGAGGAATTCGTAGAGGCCGTCGTGGGTGCGGAAGGCGGTCTTGGCGACGTCGTCGGCGCGCATCCGAACCTGGTGGTAACCGGAGCGTAGGTCGAGCTTGGTGAAGAAGCGGGCGTGGCGGAGCTCGTCCAGTAGTTCGTCGACCACCGGAATCGTGAACGCATCCTTGATCGTGATGGCGTTCAGGGCACGATAGTCCACGCAGAATCTCCAGGAGCCATCGGCCTTCCGGACCAAGAGGATCGGCGACGAGAACGCCGAGGAACTGCGGCGAATGATGCCCTGAGCCATCATCGCGGCGCATTGGTGCTCCAATTCATCCTTGTGCGTGGCGGGGTAGCGGTACGGTCGGACAGCCACCGGGGCGGATCCCGACAGAAGGTTGATGCAGTGGTCGCGGGTGCGTGCCGGAGGCATGCCGGAGGGCTCGGCGAAGACAGGGGCAAACTCCTCGAGGATGGCGGTGAGGAGATCGGCGCCAATGCAGGCCTGGATCGCAGAGCCTGTGGGAGCCGCCGTGCCGCACCAGCGCATCCGGCGGCCGCCATGCCAGAAGGACATGGTGAGGGCGCCGAAATCCCACAGAATCGGGCCCAGCATTACCAGCCACTGGGTCCCCAAGACGACATCGTACCCAGCCAACGGCAGGGCGTAGAAATCCGCGGTGAACTCCTCCGCATTGATGGAGAACGGCGCGTTGTGGAACACGCCGGGGCACTGGACGCGCTCGCCATTGGCCACTGTGACCCGCAGTTGGCCCTGGGTGAGGGTCGGGAGCGAGGCGCGGGCGGCCGCCTCCTCGGCGATGAAGTTGTGCGTCGAGCCGGAGTCGATCAGGGCGAGGAGGGAGGTGCCGCCCATCGTGAGACGCATCTGCATGGTCTCATTGGTGCGCACACCAGCGATGGCGTGGAGTGAGATTTGGGGCTCCGCTAGAGTGGCCTCGTCTGTCTTAGATTCAGTGTCGTCCTCGGCCGCCGCCAAGTCGAGGAGGAAGATGCGTTGGCAGACGCGGTTGTGGCCTCGCCCAAACTTCTCGTTGCAGTTGAAGCAGAGGCCTAGGTGGCGGCGCTCCTCCATCTCTGCCTGCGACAGGCGCTTGACCTGGCGGCCCTCGACGGTGACCGGCTGTGGCGTTGGAGCGGGCGCCGTGTTGGGCACTGGGAGCGCCAGACGGGGCGGTGGCGCCGGTAGGAGGCCCCTCTGGTGATCACGCCCTGGGCGTGGTGGTGGCGCGGCAGCCGCGGCACACTGATCGCGGAGCTCCAACTTGCGGGCGAGGCTCATGGCGACGGCGAGGGACTGAGGGTTGTGGACCTCGACGTCGAGGCTAAGCGGCGGCTGGAGGCCCCCGGTGAAGAGCTGGACGCGCTGTCCCTCATCGAGGCGCCCGGCACGGGGGAGGAGCGCTTGAAAACGGTCCTGGTACTCCGCGACAGTGTTGGTGCGCTTGCACGAGGCCAATTCGTGGAGGGGATTGGAGCGCAGCGGTGGTCCGTAGCGGAGATGGAGAAGATCCTTGAAGCGGCGCCATGAGGGAATGCCCTCGTCTGCCTGGACCTGGATGTACCACAACTGAGCGCCCTCTTCCAAGTTGTAGGAAGCCATCCACACTTTCTCTTCCTCCATGATCCTTTGCTGGTGGAAGTAGGATTCGCACCGGTTGATGAAGATCAACGGGTCGGACTTGCCATCATAGCGCGGGAAGTCGAGCTTTTGGAAACGCGGCGGCCGATCTTGGTGGTGCTCCCCCGACCTAGAGTGTGCGGAGGATGACGATCCGCCCGGCGGCCGGCGCGCGGCGTCCAGGCGCTGGATGGCCTGGGCGTTGGCCTCCACGGACGTCTGGAGGGTCCTGATGGACGCGACCAGGGAGTCCAAGGTCGCCTGCAAGGCAGCGTTGTCGGCGTTGTTAACGGTGTTGTCGCCCATGGCGTCTACGCGGCGTGGGGTGGGCGGCGCAGAGGAAGGGCGGGACGGCGGTGGTGGCGATGGTGGGTGGCTGGGTGAGGAAGGCCTGGATCGTGATACCAGGTTGTCAAGGGCGTCGATGCCCAAGACAGCGGGTCCTCGGCTACGGAGCTCGTAGCCTTGACGGGTAATGGCGTCGGGGTTGTTGCCCGGCTGCCCAATGGTAAAGGAGGTGAGATTAGGAAGAAGAAGGAGGATTAGGATTGATCATTCTTGCTTCCTCCAAAGAGTGCCGATTACATGAATTATATAGGCCCGTGGCCTGCTAACAAAAGGAAACAAACTCCTTTATTCTAGCAATATTTGATTGTCGATCTGCATGCCTGCATGCCTAAATCTGCTCCTGGACGCGCGGCCGGCGTCGGTACTGGACGCCCCACATGACAGACACATTTTACATGTTATAATGCAGAACGTTTTTTTTTCTTCCAGCAACCAGACTCTGCAGCTAAAACCCATAAGGCATTTGCTACAATGGACTTTGACATGGAACTCGGAGGGCAGTTCTCCTTGTCAGACCGTGACAGTGCGTAAGTGGCATTACATGTATTCGAGTATCCTGTGTAAGGAATTTTACTGAATTAGCTAGAAACTTATTATTAATGTAGAGCTGAAGACGAAGAGGAACGGCCTACTTTAGTTCGCAGGACAACTATAGGGAATGGTAAGAAGTCATGCTAACTGATCTTTGTGAAGTTGTGTACTGATTTGCAGCATTTGTGTTCATAATTCACCATATCATTTCTGTTCTTAGGTCCCCCCGAATCAATACATGATTGGACCAAAGATGCTGATTTTGGTATGTCCAGTCAGAATGACCCCACTCAACTCTATTCTAAGAAGAATTGGCGACTACTTCGATGCCAAAATGGCAAGTCTGTGTTTCTTTCCTTAGGTGTTAATCCTTCCTTGGAGGATGTTTGAAGTTGGGATTGCTTACCGGTTTGCATTGGCAGGGTTGCGCATTTATGAAGAACTTCTGGAAGTTGAATACCTTGTATGTTCCAATTGTAGTGCCTTTTCTTCTCCAAAATAAATCTGGGTACAACCTGAAACTCTAAAGCTGATGACAACATGCTACTGCATGCCATGTAGGCAAGAAGCTGTGGCCGAGCTATGAGGGCTGTTGGTGTAGTGGAAGCCACAAGTGAAGCCATTTTTGGGCTGATGATGAGCATGGATGCAACAAGATATGAGTAAGCAACTGGTCCTTTAACTTAGTGGTTTCCCTAATACAAATACCCCCTGTTTGAAATTGTAAGGCCTATTTCTTAGTGACAAGCCTTTGACCAACAAGTACTCTATTAGTATATAATTTCAGTGCCACAAATTTGTACTCTATTAGTTTATATTTAAACACAATTATTTATGTGTGTATTTGTAAGTGGTCTTTCCCTTTTTTTTTGAAACGTAGTCTTTCCCTTTATTTTCCTTCTTAATATAATGATGCAACACAGGCACACAGCTCTCCTGCGTGTCCGAGAAAAAAAAATGCCTTGTAAAAGAAACCGAAGGGAGTGTTTAATATCATCCTTGTTGATCTTTCTTTTCTATTTAGGTGGGACTGTAGCTTTCGCCAGGGTAGTTTAGTTGAAGAGGTTGATGGTCACACTGCAGTACTATATCATAGTTTGCAATTGCATTGGTGTCCAAGGTAACTACAATTCTCATAGATTGACAAGTTCCTGTCATAATCTTTTGCCTCTGATTATTCTAAATGTAACTTCCATCTATGTGAACGTGCAGGTTGATCTGGCCTCGGGATCTGTGTTATGTTAGGTATTGGCGACGTAATGACGATGGAAGTTATGGTAAATTGTTGAGCTATAATCATTCAAGCCCACTTTACTCTCTTTAGTGTCTTCTTTCTGACAATGTGTGTTTACACATGCAGTTGTGTTATTTCGTTCTACAGAACATCCAAACTGCAGCCGTCAACGAGGATTTGTAAGGGCTTTTATTGAAAGTAATTTTCTCGGGCCCATAATAAGTCCTGCACCTACCTTTACTAGAAACTCCATGTATAAACAAAATTGTCAACTTCTATTCTTTTGTTTTCCTGAAATTTCTAAAAATTCAGGTGGAGGATTCAAGATTTGTCCTCTTAAGTGTCGCAATGGAAGACCCCGGACTCAAGTTCAGCACCTTATGCAGATTGACCTGAAGGGATGGTTCTTGAATTACTCTACTTCCTTTCAGTATCATTCTTTGCTGCAGATACTGAACTGTGTTGCCGGTACTGAAATACTGTTTTTCTTATGACACAACCATTAACAGCTTTATATTTAGTATGAAAGAACGAATGAAATTTGTTAAACTGACCACTCAGCCTTGTTGTCTCACCAATTCATTTCTGGTCCTTATGGCTCTAATCTACACTTACTCCCAGGGCTGCGTGAATATTTTTCCCAAACAGATGATATCCATATAACTCCAAGGATTCCTGCAATGGAGAGCATGGCTGATGTGAATACAGCACAAAAGGATGAGAAGCTTACAGAAATTGACTCCAATACTAAACCAGCAGATCAAGAACATGTCGAAAATAAAAACATGGGAACGATTGATGAAGAATCAGATGACGATGAGGAGTATCAGGTTCCTGAAGCTGATATAGAGGTGCAAATATCCTAGACCAAACAATGAACAAAAACATCATGAATTCGTAACTTACTACAGATTTTGCATGTTTCCTCACTTGATACTAAACCTTGATCAAAACCAATGTACAGGAAAGCCCTAAAAAATCTGACAATGAAGCTAAACAAACGGGTTTGTTTCCCTTTTCTATTCTATATTCCAGCATTCTAATATCTGTTGTCATCAAGTTCTAGGGAAGGTGTTCTCTATTTCTGTAACAGCAGTACTTTTTCAATATGACAGATGAGCCTCCAGAAAAAAATGATTTATCTTGCTTTTCTGGAATCCTTCATCATGATCCGGATGAGAAAAGTCGCAACTGTTGGACAGTACCTGATAGCAAGCTTTTCAAAGTTCGTAGCAAGAATTTCCCAAATGACAAATCAAAGGTCTGAATCTTCCAGTTTGTATTTTATTGCTTGTGAAGCATGTTGGATAATATAAAGAATCTTAACACACTAATATCCAAGTTACAGATACCTGCTGCAAGTTATCTAATGGAGCTTGCAGCCATTGATTGGTATAAGGACACCAAGCGTATGGATAATGTTGGCAGGCAAAAAAATTGTGTTGCTCAGGTAACCAAAACACCCCTAATTGCTTCCATTATTCCTATGTTGCAGCTGTTATTTATTTAACTTTAAATTTTTACTATTTCAATATAATCATGATTCAGCTACAGCATGATAGTAGATGGCGTTGCTTTTATCAAGGAGCTAGGACCAGCAAAAAAAACTTCACCTTTTATTCATGCCTCTTTCTTTTACTTCTATTATAGGTTGCTGCTGAGAAAGGGATGCATACATTTATTGTCAACTTACAGGTAAGTCACTATTCCATAAAACTGTTTTGAACCTTTATCCATCCGTTTGATTTTTTTGGTGAATTTATCCTCTTGTAGATTCCCGGATCAACTCACTACAGCATGGTCATGTATTTCGTCACAAGTTCCTTGAAAAAGGGATCATTACTGCAGCGCTTCTTTGATGGCGATGATGACTTCCGCAACAGCAGACTGAAGCTCATACCATCCGTTCCAAAGGTCTTTTTTCACCCAATATCTATGTACGGTGTTACAACAGTTTTGTGTCCTTCACTTCACTTTGACTTAAAAAAGGAAAAAATAAAACTTCAGGGTTCTTGGATAGTGAGGCAGAGTGTTGGCAGCTCCCCTTGTTTGTTGGGAAAGGCATTGGATTGTACCTATGTACGAAGTCCTGGGTATTTGGAGGTGAGGCCAATAATGTTGTGCTTGAAATATTTCTAACACATCCCTTATGATTTCATCCTTGTCTTGTGTAAAAAAAGATTTATCTTGAGATGATATGTTTTGGCTAATACAATTTGACTGGTTATTACAATTAGTGCCAGATATAGAAGTGAAAAATGTCTAACTCTGCTGTCCGCATGGCTTGTAATGGGACCTTTTTCTCTACTTATTAATATAATGATACACACTTCTCCTGCATGTTCGAGAATGAAAAATGCGAAAAATGTCATTTGTGAATAAGGCAATGCATCTGAGCCTGTAGTGTTTTGCAGGTGGACGTTGACATTGGTTCTTCTGCTGTAGCAAATGGAGTTTTGGGCTTGGTGTTTGGTGTTGTCACAACATTAGTAGTTGATATGGCTTTCCTAATACAGGTTGGTGTCTCTTCTCTACATGGATGGACTCTGTTTTTAAGTGACCTTGACGGTTTTGTTTTCTCTAAAGACTGCGAATGCAATTCACTCTCTTTTTAAGTATACTCTAGCTGGGATAAAAAAAAAACTACCAACGAACTAGGAGGTTTTTCCTGTCCACGTCCTCACTTTTGGCTGTTACCATGCTATTACTTGTGTACTTTCAGGCAAACACATATGAGGAGCTCCCAGAGCAAGTTATAGGCGCAGCTCGGCTATCTAATGTGGAACCGTCTACAGCAGTAGTTCCTGACCTTGAAAATAATAGTGACAGCAACAAAGATAACAGCAGTAATGACGCTACATCCTCTGAGGATGATTCGTCAAAGAAGACCAACTGATTCGACTTTTCTTTGAAGATTTCGATGAGCGCCGCAGGTTGTCTAGTTCTTTTTATTCCTTTTAAGCTCTGTGCTGTGCACGTATCTTCGCGGGCTTGCATCATAGTTGCAGTCTGGTAGATCTCCTTGGGCACTTACAATTGAGCCCAGAACTTCAGACATGATCTTTAATTTCCTTCTCATCGCAGTCCGTTCTTATCCTTCACATCAATTTGTGGAGGTGATTCAGTGTACATGCTAGCAGAATTACTGTAGATAGTACCATCTGATGAACACGTTCAACTGTCGAACTGATCAGCTGAGTTATAAGTGCTTTGTGTGAGTAACCAACACATGATGATGCTGTGCTTAGATATATCAACAAATCAGCAGAGTTCTCATAATGAAAAAAAAATGGGGCACTATAGGCATCGCTCTGAAAAAATGAGTAAATAAATAGTAAAATGATCAATGGTTCCGCAAAGACGTCATGCTCAGGCCCTGTTTGGTTAGGCCTTTGGCTTTGTCTTTTGGTCCCAAAAGCCAAAAGCCCAACCAAAGGGGCTGTTTTTGGAGGGTGCTTTTTCAGAAGCAGCTGCTTTTCCGTAGTTCATTTTTGAAAGCTGGTTTGACCCTGCTTTTGGCTTTCTGTTTTTCGAAATTGGTGGAATAAAAAGCTCTTCCATAGTTGTTTCAAGAGAGATAAAGATAAAAGGTATATTTTATACTTGTTTAACCAAACAAATTTTCACTTTTCTACACTCCACACCCATAGCAACTTTTTCTACAACTCACACCCCACCCAACAATTTTTTTTCCCACAAATACCACACTCAACCAAACAGGGCCTCAATTTGTGACTAAAAACAAAAAGAGGAAATTTCAATAGTTTTTGAGAATTTTTTTATATTTCTTGAGGAAACAGGAAAGGAATATACACTGACGCCCGCGTCGCTCCCCCACGCGGGGTGACTCGGGCGGCCCCCCTGCCCACCCTCCTCTCACCCCCTCCCCGCCTCGCCCATGCCGCCACGAGCCAGGCTGCAGGCATGGGTGCTGGCAGTGTGATGATGGTGGCGGGGGGCTCTCTCTCCTCGTGTTGGCGGCAAGACTGCAGCAGGGCGTGTTCGGCCGGCCCATGGACCGGCGCGTGGAGGTTGACGAGTGGCTGCCATGCTGGTGTCCGTCTTGTTGCAGGGACAACGGCGAGGTCTTCTTCTTCTCCTGCGTTCCCTTCTCCTCTCTTGATGGCGGCGGCAACAATCTGGCCGAGGCCGCCGGTCCGGGGCCCAGTCGGCCAGATCCGGTGCCCGGGGGGCCAGATCCGGACCCCAGGCTGCCGGATCTGTCTTGGCGGCCGGCGGCGGTTGCGGCGGCGGCGGTTGCGGCGGCGGCGGCGGTGGCCGAGGCCCATGCATGTGCTGGGGGGCGGTGCTTTCTTCTGTGTCGTCCCTCCCCTCATGGCCTTGGCTGCTGCGGCTCAGGGGTTGGCTGTGCCCGGGGCAGCGACCTCTGCCGGCCAGCCTGCCCGCGGCGGCCGGTCTGGCGGCCAAGGCGAACGATGTTTGCAGCTATGGTCAAGACGGAGGCGTCGGCGTCGGCAGGGGGCGCCGGATTCGGGGCCTGGTGTCCGGATTAAGCGGCCCCAAGACATGGGGCGGAGCCCGACATGGTGGGGCACACTGGCGGTGATGGCGGCAGCGACATCGGCAGGTGCCAGAGCCGACGACGTTGGTCATTTGCGGCCTCGGCGTGCGGCGGTGTGACGCGAACGACAGAGTCAGGTCCGGCTCTGCGTGGCCCGGTCGGAGGGGGTGGCGGGCGACGCAGCTGTGCGGCTGCTACGTGCAGCCGGCGCGTCGATGCCCCTCTTAAGGGGCTTCCGTGGGGCGCCGGGACAACGGCGATGGCGGTGAAGGCTGGCACGGGTCCAGCTTCGCGACCCGACGAGTGTGCTAGAGGGTTCTTGGGCGAAAGCCTTGGCGACTGCGACGCCGTTGGGCGCCGCTTCCCTGTTAGGGGCGTCTTATTTCCCCACTAGCATGTCTTCCAATGGTGAAAACTCAGTCCACTTTGGACGTGCGACGGTGTCACTCCCTTCCTGAAGGTGTCGCATTTGGATTATTGTCGTTGTTTCGATGCGGGGTGATGGTTTGCGTTTGGAAGTCGGAGCTGCTCTTCGGTGTCTGAGCTCGGCAACGATGACCGGTGGCGGCCATTTGCTTCAGACCCGTCGGGGGTGACCGGTGGGTGGCCTGCCATGGGAAGTCGGAGCTGCTCGCAGCTTGGCTTCCATGCTCGACAACGATGACCCATGGCAGTGTGTCGCGTTTGTGCTCAGCTGCGTCGCGTGGGGTGGTTAGCCCTTCGGGTGCCTTTCTGGCATCTCGTCCGACTAACTTCTTGTACATAATATTCTTTCGGCTTAATTGAGCGGCAGGGCTCCTGCCTTTTGTTTAAAAAAAAACTTTCAGAAAGGAAGCGTGCAAAAAATGGGCTATGCATCGCAGAACTCAAAACGAGTTGAGTCGAGTCGAATTCTTTTGTGCAGTGCAGATACAAAACGAGCAACACGTCATTGTGGAAGAAATGTTCAAATCTAATTCTGTGCAGATAGATCGGCCTGCAATAGAGAACAGGAAAGTCTATTTATCCGGTCATATCGATCATCTTGCGCCGAAAAATGAATCGGCGAATTGCCGGTTGCCGCATTCGATGGAGTTGGGGAAGATACGGATACGGACCAGGGGAGGAAGTGGGCTTGTTTGGGCCCGTTGGTGGCCTAGTCTGGTTCGCCCCCCTCGACAGAATAGCCCCTGTTAGTTTGAGATGTATAATTGGGCCGGCCCGTCGAAGAGTCGAAGTTTCCTTCTATATAGCAAATAGCAAAGAAATGTATGGAATTACGTTAATAATAATCATTACTGTGATTCCTTTTTTTTAAGGAACATTACTATGATTCTTCTTCTAATAAGATCTTGAAAAAGGGTACATAAACGAGGTTACACAACCAGTACATTTCTTTGCACCATAAATCATACAATTGGGTTGATACATACTGATCTAATAACGGGCACACACGTTAGTTTGGTGCAGCAAGTTCATCCTGCATGAGTAGTCTCTTCTCAGCATGCTTGAACACCTCCTTCAGAGACTTCTTCACCACATCATCAGCAAAAACAAACTGTGCTGCATCCTGGGCTAGCTGAAACAGCTCGGACTTGCTGAGACCTACCAAAAGCATGCGTGTCAGTCAGGTCTGAATCAGAAACGGATCCTTATTTGCAAGTAGTAGAGGGCATACCGAAAGTCGTTGCAACAAGGTAATACTCATTTGAGAGGCTTGTTGAGAACAGTCCAGAATCATCTGTGCACAGGGACAGAGGGTGCTTTGCATTATAGAGGTCAGCTGCACAATTTCAGTATGGCAAAATTCAGTGCTGAGAAGATGATGATTGTTGATATGAACTTTTGAGTTCTGTAAGTCTAGGGACCAACCAAAGTGATGAAGCTCTAGGGAAGGAGCACCTCCTGTCATAACATTAGAAGTTAAACATATCTCGACCTGCATTTTGTCTTTTGAGTTAAGCATATTTACAAGTCACACCTAATTGACCATTAGACATGCAATGGATAAAAATAAGTTTACCGGAATCATAAGAGACTTGAGCTTCTCCCATTCTACATCATTCAGACAGCATACATGACCCAACCTCTGAGGGAAGAAGTCCAGCACTGCTTGGATTTCCTTCCGATTTGCTACCTATTGTCACTAAGCTTTGCTTTGTTGGTCAAATAGTATAGGGAAAGATTTACAAATGTTGCTGCAACCAAATAAAGATCTATAAGGAAAGAGTGGTTTCGGATCCCAAACCTCTCCACAGTGAATTGTAATGGGGATTCCCAGATTTTTAGCATGTTGTAGGGCAGGCAAGTATGTTTCCCTACATAAAATGTTGCAAATGTCGAGGCATATAAGCACATAGATATTTAGCATGTTTCCAACTAGTTTTAGCCAGATGAAAAATGCTTTTACCATTCCCCCACAACTGGATTGCCAGAAAGATCGATGCCTATGACACCTTGGTCCTTCATTTCCATGGCTAAATTAACCTGACCAAGAGAAATAAATGATTTGTGCAGATTCTCAATAGGCCCCGCCTGTATTAGTTCAGAATATTGGTTGGTGTGAAAAATATTAACATACGGTATCCATTGCAGCCGAAGTTGTCTCACGGCGATCAATACTAAGAAGGAGCCTAACATATATCTTCTTTTTCTTTGCATCACCATCCAACAGCTTAGAATTTAGTGTTTCATTTGTTCTGAAATTAGAATCAAATAATGCGACATCAACACCTTCAACTTCTTTCAGACCTTTAATAACAGCATCCATGTAAGACCTCTTGGTCATCCCCTTTGCTTCATTGTTCTGGATGATATGTGAGCAAAAGAAAAATCATAAAACGATTCACAATATTGTCGTATTGCTTAGAAAATTGCACAAAATACGCAAAAAAAAAGTAGCACCTTAGGTGTTGTTCTTATTTCCAAATATACAACATTCTCTGCAGCAAAATCTTCCACAACCTGTTAATTTTGTCTGGGTTAATTTAATAAGTAATTGAGTGTACAACGGCAATACAAAAAAAAAATGCAATCTTGTAATCATAATGGCAGATACCTCCTTAGCAACCCTTGTTACTGTATCATGGTCAGTTGTAAGTATATGAAACAGGTCAAAAAGCTTGAAACACTCTGGAAGAGACCTATCACCTGTTTAACGTTTATCACTTAAAGACACAGTTTTATATATATTGCGATTGTAAAGCAAAAGTACCAAGATTCCATATAAGAGTTTTGATACAATTTATATTAGTAACTGTATTAGAAAACAATTTCAAGGGAATCGGACACTAACTCTTCATGATCACATCCTTAACATCTTCGAAGACAATGACTCCTTTGTCACCTAGCTGTTTTGCAAGTTCTCTGTTCAAATTTACCACTTGAAAGGTCAACTTTGTATGTTAATAATGATAATATGATGTCCAGAAAGGAGAGAACATTGGTAAAACTTATAATATGCTAAGCATAATATTGCCAATATATTCTCCAGAAAATAAGCATAGGTGTTTTAAATGGTATGTAAGCTGTTTAGTCCAAATATAAATAGCTAGAACCTAGAACTACATATCCATACAAAAAGAACCAACCTGTGAACTAGCATTGCACTCACTAAAGGATCTGAATATTTTGTAAAAGAAATAGAAAAAAAGGGGAAACAGAGCATCTCTGTAAACATGTAATGTCTTAGTTGAACTAGCCAACCATGTAACACATGGCACATTTGTTTACTCCAACGACAAACATAATTTTGAGACCTACCTTCAATTATCTCATATAAGTAATAACTAATAAGGTCATTTTCAAGGAGGTCAAGTCATCTGTGATTTGTGTGAACCAAAAGCTCCATTAGAAAATTTCTTTTGTCATCAAAACAAGCAAAGGTTCTCACCTACATGAGCCCTCACGTTAATACAATGCAATGAGTCCACATGTCTGCACACTGCTACTGTATGCCCTGCTTCCTAAAAAGCAACAATGCCTACAATCTCACAGTTTGCAAGCAAACCAGATTTGCTTGCTGGTAAACAAGATCAGATTCGAGCCACCAATTTCCTAGCAAGTTCCTCTCCCAAACTTTGTCACAAAATCATAATTGTTATGGAACAGACTACAGATGTTGCCCAAGGATTGGCTGAAGTCAAGGATTGGCGCTGCTCTAGCATCAAATCAAGAACCTGGAGGAGCTAAGCTACCCCTACCGGTGGGTAAAAATCAAGAACCGGGAGGCCAGGGGAGAGAGGGGAGATGGGTGGGGGGGGGGTGCGGTGCGGAGCACTGACAGAAGGGTGGAATTGCGGACGGAGCCGTTGAGGTGCGCGTGGAGCTCCACCTTGGGGAGAGCGACGCACCACTCCCTCATCTCCTCGATCGACGCCGCTTTCCTCTCAGTCTCAGTGTCCATGGCGGCGGCCTCTCCTCTCTCTTGGCTCTTGCTTAGCCCTGTGCCCCTCTATGATTGCTCTTGCTCGTTCAGTTTGCTGAAGACCGCCTTCGGTTCAGTCAGTGCCAGGGGCTCAGGGCGATAGGTGTGTCTTTGGATAGAAATTGATCCAAATCCTTGTACCAGTTTGAATTTGAGCTGATGAGTTAGACCCGTCTCGCCCTTCAAACATCACGACAGGACAGCTTTGGAAGAGTAGAATTTTGACCAAAATTCATCTTTTGCCTCACGGTACAAACTCGCACAGCTTGTTAAGAGAAGATTTTTGGCTGAAGTTCTTTTTCTTTTTTTCTTTTATTTTAAGTATAAACGCACACACGTACAGTTATTAGTAAACACCTTTAAAAGACTAAGTCAGAATAATTGAGGTTAACAAAGTCATGACAGATGTTAATATTAGGGATCAACTACGATTGGGCCTTCACATGGGTCATGGCCCTTGCGCCAGTCCATATATCGCTTGATGGGAAAAAGTGCGGCCCCACTCGCTTCGCTGAAAAAAACAAATCGAAACACTGTTCCAACTAATTTGTTACGAGAAAAACACGATTTCAACTTAAAAAAATAAGCTAAAAAATACATATTACAAAACAAACGAACAGGCCTGCAAATGCCGAAACCCAAGGTCATCTTCCTCTGAACTCTTCCTTTCTCTACTGTTCCTCTTCCTCTCAACCCTACTAATTCTCTTATTCTTCTCCTTTCTCTACCATTGCTACTTCGGTTGCTAACATTAAGTGCCAGAGCCGTCTATTTTGGTACTCTAGCATGAATCCTTCCACCAAGCTCTTCCTCGACGAGTTCCGAAGGCTCCTCGCCGAGCAGACCGCGCACTTGGATCGGCGATTCGCCGACCGGGCCGCGTCGGTCGCGCCCACGGCCGCGCCGTCTGCCGCTGCTTCGGTCATGACCACGCCCACGTCTTCCGCCGCCGCCGCATCAGTCACGACCGCGCCCACGTCTTCCGCAGCCGCTGCCTCGGTCGTCACCTCGCCCACGCCCGCGCCCATTCCTTCCACCGCCACGCTCAGGTCCTACTCCGACCCGCTCGTCGCCAACGACCTCGAGTTCGACGGCGCCATCGACCGCGACCGCGCCGCCGTGGACCGGCTCGAGCGCGCCTGCGTGGTCGGCCCCAGTGCTGAGTACGCCTTGTTCCGCACCCCGTCCGTGATTGTGCACCCAGTCTTCCACCGCGACCTGGCGCCGCCGCACCAGGCCACGGCCACCCGCCTCCACCTCGTCCGCCCCGACGTCGTCCCGGAGGCGCTGCGTGTTAACAGCAATCGGAGGGTAGGAGGAAGCAATCGGGGTCGGAAGGGAGGAAGCGGAGTTGGGGAAGAGGAGCAGAGCACGGGGACGAAGCGCAGAGGAATCTCGATAACTTGGGAAGGGGTTCATACAATGTTCATACCCTTCTGTGTTTACCACTACGATACATATATGCCGCTCCGGCAAGCTCACGCACACACTTGCCCTCAGGGCTCACTCATGACGCCACTCTGGGTTGAAGAAGCGCACACTCTTGGTCTTGGGCCGCACTTGACGATCCTTCCTTACTTAGGCCTTCTCCTTGCCTTCAGAGCTTCCCTGGTCAGCGCCCGTTGCCGGATGGTGCACAGGTACGGTGCTGACACTCCCCCTTCTTGCGCGCCTGGATGATCCCAAACCAGAGCGCGAGGAAACTGCCGCTGAAGATCTACGAGCTTCTCCCAGGTTGCCAGCGATTCAGGAAGATGAGTCCACTTGATCAAACCCTGCAGAACAGAAGTTGTACCTTGGCGTAGGTAGCGCCGCTGCAGAATTCGTTCAGGAATACTCCAAACCGAAGACTCTGATGGGGGTTCAGGTGTAACAGTATGATCCGCACCCACCGCCTTTTTCGTTGGGAAACGTGAAAAACTGGGTGAATGGCAGACGAGGGTGGAAGCTCCAATCGATACGCCACAGAACCGACCTTGGCAAGAATGCGATAAGGTCCAAAGAACCGAAATGCCAACTTATGATGGGAATGTTCAGCAAGTGAAGATTGAACATACGGTTGGAGCTTGAGGTAGACCCAGTCGTTAAGCTCAAACTGTCGTTCGGAGCGGTGCAGGTCAGCATTCTTCTTCATGCGCTGCTTGGCACGTAGCAGATGTTGACGGATCAGATCAGTGTTCAGAGCTCGATCAGATAACCAAGAGGCGAGATTAGTGATAGAAGAGTTGTGAGCAGCCTCAATGCCGAATGCGTTAGGGGCATAGCCATACATCACTTCAAATGGAGAACAACCCACGGCAATGTGGAAACTAGTATTATACCAATACTCGGCCAAATCCAACCAGCTGCTCCACTGCTTAGGACATGCATGAGTGTAACAGCGAAGAAAGGTCTCGAGACACTGGTTGACTCGTTCGGTCTGGCCATCCGACTGTGGGTGGTAAGCAGTAGACATGCGCAGGTCCACTTTTGCCAGCTTGAAGAGTTCCTGCCAAAACTTGCTCGTGAAGATGCGGTCTCTGTCCGACACAATGGCTTGCGGCAGGCCATGTAGCTTAAATACATTGGAGAAGAAAAGCTTGGCCACAGAACTTGCAGTGAACGGATGCTTCAATCCAATGAAGTGGGCATACTTAGAAAAGATGTCAACCACGACCAGAATGCAGTTAACAGACCCCGACATTGGCAACCCTTCAATGAAATCAATGGAAATGATCCGCCAAGCACGATCTGGAACTGGGAGGGGTTGAAGAAGACCTGGTAGCTTAGAACGGTCAGGCTTGGCCAGCTGGCACACCTGACAGGTAGAGACAAAATCATGCACTGCTTTGTTCATACCAGTCTAGGCGAAGTATTGCTTCAGTCGGCGGAGAGTAACCGGAATACCATAATGCCCCCCATAGCATTGGAATGCAACTCAGAGATCAACTGCCGCTGAATTTCAGTGTTGGCACCCACCCAGAAGCGAGATTTATACCTCAGAAGGCCGTTGAGGAATGTGAAGTGGGGCACCGATTGCTCATCTGTAGTTAGACGTGTGATGATAGACTGGGCATGCTCATCCTCAATATATGACTTGGTCACCTCAGATAACCAGTACGGTTCAGCGACCGAAATAGCAGCACAGGAGCCGACTGGGTACCGTGAGAGAGCATCAGCATCTCGATTCTCAACCCCTTGCCTGTAGACAATCTTGTAAGATAAGCCCAATAGCTTAGAAAATACCTTCTGCTGCCAAGGGGTATGGAGTCGTTGTTCAGTCAGCTGGCTCAGACTTTTTTATCAATCAAGATATGAAACTCCCCATACTACAGATAGGCACGTCGCTGATCCAGCGCCAATAGAATAGCCATATATTCTTTTTCGTATGTCGACAACCCCTGAGACCGTGGGCCCAATGCCTTACTGAGGAATGCCAATGGATGTCCCCCTTGCATCAGTACAACGCCAATGCCAATACCGCTGGCGTCAGTCTCCACACAGAATGGTTTCTTGAAATCTGGTAGAGCCAGAACCGGTGCTGTGGTAAGAGCATCTTTCAGTGCCTGAAAGGAGTTAGCCTGGGGTTCGGTCCAATGAAAGGGAACACCCTTTTTGAGTAATTCGGTCAACGGCTTGGCAATGATCGCAAAGTGCCGGACGAAACGCCGGTAGTAGCCGGCAAGCCCCAAAAAACTACGCAGATCTTTGATAGACAGAGGCACTGGCCATTGCTGAACTGCGATGATCTTTTCAGGATCAGTAGCCACACCAGCTTCAGAGATGACATGGCCTAGATAACAGAGTTGTCGCTGCAAGAAAGAGCACTTAGACATCTTGATTTGCCATTTGTCACGGCGGAGGAGCTCCAACACCAAGCGTAGGTGGACGAGGTGTTCTTCACGAGACTTGCTGAAAATGAGGATGTCATCAAAGAAAACCAGAACACATTTGCAAAGGAGAGGATGTAACGTGGTATTCATGGCCTTAAGAAAAGTGGCTGGAGCTCCAGATAACCCAAAAGCCATCACCCAGAACTCGTATTGCCCAGAATGGGTCTGAAACACCGTCTTGGGTTCTTCGCCAGTGCGCAGACGGATCTGATGGTAGCCGGCAGTCAGGTCCAGAGAAGAAAACCAGGAGGCCCCTTGTAACTCGTCCAGTAACTCCTCAATAACCGGGACAGGATACTTGCACTTAGCTGTTATGGCGTTCAACTGACGAAAATCAACACAAAACCGAAATGATCCGTCTTTCTTTTTGACCAAGAGCACTGCAGATGAAAAAGGACTGCTGCTTGGCTGGATGACATCTCTGAAACTTGACGCTCAATTTTAGTCTTGACGGCCGGAGGGTAACGATAAGGCCAAACCTGCACTGGAGCAGCACCAGCAACGAGAGGAATCTCGTGGTCACAGTGGCATGCTGGTGGGTAGCCCTGTGGTGGGCCAAAGACATCTTTGAACTCAGACAATAAAGCTGCTAATTTAGGCGAAGAAACTGATGAGCTGCCTTCTAAAGCTTCTTCCTTCACTGCAGTGACTTGTAAGATTGCACCCACTGGGAGAGAGTCCAACTGCCCCTGCAAATGCATCTGAGTACCTTCATATGTTATAGTCATCCACTTGTACCTCCAATCAATCTCCATGGGACTATGTGCCGTGAGCCAATCCATGCCCACAATGAGATCGTACTGTGATAGAGGAAGGACCTTGGCCACTGAAACAAAAGAGCACTGCTGTACTGACCACTGCAATTGCTTGAATTCAGTATTACACAACATCTAAGTACCATTTGCCACCATCACTCTGGTGGGGTGAACACAAGCGGAACTGCCTTGAAGATGAGCGGCAAGGGAAGCACTAACAAATGTATTAGAACTCCCAGAATCCAGTAATATATGGACCTGCCTGCCCTGAACTTCGCCCATGAACTACATTGTACTAGCAGAAGCTCAATCAGACATCGTCGCTGAAGAAAGAGTCATGAACAGCTGAGCATCGGCATCGGGGTCCTCAGGCACCGCTTGATCATCACAATCATCACCATGACAGAGGTCCCAAACTTCCTGGAGCACGTGCAGTTGAATTTGCTCAAGACAGCGATGGTCGCGAGACCATTTCTCGCCACACCTGATGCAGAGGCCGCGGGCCCGGCGATAGTCGCGTAGAGTATTCAGCTTGGCATCGACACCGCGCCCACGCCGGTCATCAGCACCCGCGACAGCTCCCGCTGCATGCTCCTGTCGTTCACTGCGCCCGGTGGGTACCAATTGGGGTTGTGGCGCGCGCGGGGGCAGCTTGGCCCACTGGTACGCGTCCGGACGACGTAACTCCTTCTTCCTCGACGAGTCCAGCATTTCCTCCTGCAACAAGGCGAGAACCACGGCAGTATCCAAAGTACCAGGTCGCTGCATATGAACAACAGTATGAATCTCGTCGCGCAAGCCATCAACAAATCTCATAGCATAGTAGATGGGGTCAGTGTTTTTGCCATAAGCTATTAAGCCATCAACGATAGAAGTGAATTTGTCAGCATATTCTTGCACGATACCGTCTGCCTGATGTGAAAGAGCTGACGGATAAGCAGTTCGTGCTGGTCTTTGCCAAAGCGCTCCAGCACTAAGGTAGTGAATTGTGGCCAAGACATCCTGAGCACTTGCTGCTCAACAGCGGGAAACCAGCGCGCGGCGGTCCCGGTGAGATGCATCGTGGATACCTTGATCCAGCGACGCGGAGCCACTTCATACATCTCAAAATAATCAGTGCAGTTGCGAAGCTAAAGGCGTGGGTTTTCGCCATCAAACTTGGAAAAATTCAGTTTAGGCAGTTTGTCATTAGATTGGTTAGTGTCCCAGAGCTCAGGTGCCTCCTGTGTTCCCAACCCCAGCTCCACAGCGGGCTGACCCGTATCCAGCATGGAACTAGAGTATGATTTATGCAGCGCAAAAGTAGGACGAGGAAGAGACTGCGGATGAGGGTGGGTATAGGGAGGAAAGTGACTGTGCGTACCCTTGACCGGGGATAGAGTTTGGAACTCGAATCCCCGGTGATGGTGCTCAACGCCGTGCCCAACAAACGGGCCAGTAACCTTGGGACCGGTGGAGAGCGACACTCCAGCCGTGGTCCCCATTGGAGGAGGTTTGACGGAGCACGACGCCCCAGTCATGGTCATCACAGAAGGCAGCATGCCGAACTGCATCCCGGGCGCGGTCACCCCTGGACAGGGCACGCCGAACGTGGCCCCGGCCGTGGTCACTGCGGGTGGAGACAGGACGCCGGACGCAGCGCTTGGAGTCGCATCCAGCACCGCACGGCTCACCGTCTTGCGCAGGGCCGTCATCTCCTCCCGTATCTTGTCGACGACCTCCTCAGACTTGCGGATTGCGCCGATCTCAGCGCGGAGTTCCTTCACCAACTCGTCGACGGTGGGCTTCCACTCGTCGAACACCTTCGCTGCATCCTCCAGGCGGCCGAGTCGGTCAGAGATGGTGCGCTCCACGGCACAGATGCGGTTGCCCAGCGACGAATTGACCGCCGCGATGCTGCCTTCGATGGTTGTCTGCATGGATTTCATCTCATCCAACATCAGCTTGAGGTTGGGCTCCATTGCTCCCCGATTTTGGCGGAAGCGAGTGAAGTGGTCGTGATCTATTTGGTGGGGCTCTAGGGTAGGGTTGGGCGGGCAACAACCTTCGATTCACGCCGACTGGATCAGCCTCGGATCGACCTATGGTTCACGCGATTCCTCACCGGAGCGAGGACTCAGCGATCCGCTGCCGACGGGGGTTACGATCCCAGATCAAGGCGAGAATGAGAGTAGTGCCGAGGAAGGTGGCTCCGAGTACCAATTGTTAACAGCAATCGGAGGGTAGGAGGAAGCAATCGGGGTCGGAAGGGAGGAATCGGAGTTGGGGAAGAGGAGCAGAGCACGGGGACGAAGCGCAGAGGAATCTCGATAACTTGGGAAGGGGGTTCATACAATGTTCATACCCTTCTGCGTTTACCACTACGATACATATATGCCGCTCCGGCGAGCTCACGCACACACTTGCCCTCAGGGCTCACTCATGACGCCACTCTAGGTCGAAGAAGCGCACACTCTTGGTCTTGGGCCGAACTTGACGATCCTTCCTTACTTGGGCCTTCTCCTTGCCTTCAGAGCTTCCCTGGTCAGCGCCCGTTGCCGGATGGTGCACAGGTACGGTGCTGACACTGCGCCGGTTCATCGCTGACCCCGGGGTCACCTTCGTCGGGTCGGGCTCCGCTCACGACGACCACATCCCGGAGGAGCACTACGTCAAGGCCGCGCCCAACCTTCCCTCCGCTATGCAGCTGTCCTTGAGGAGCAGGTCCACCGGATGCTCCGTGAGTGGCGTGCCGAGCTCAGCGTCCCCTCCCCGGCTTCCTCTCTCCTGCAGATGGTGGTGCCCGAGGAGGAGGATGAGGTTCCCAGCACCTTGCCCAACAGGTGTTTGATGAATTGCCTCATCCTCACACAGAGCTGTTTCTCGCTTCCATTCAGTTGCAGCTGGGCTGCAGTGCTATGCAGGCAGCACAGGCCATGGCCTCCACCTTCAGAACTCCGGTTGGTGAGCTGTGAGGCTGGGCTGCGTCCTCTACCATGGCCGTCGCTCGACATGGTTGAGAGGTACTCTGTCATGTGTCTCTCTGTCCGACTCTGGAAGCCCCCTTGGTATGTATCAATTCAACAACAAATCATGTGTGTGCTTGCTGCATTTGTAGAGTCTTGGAAATGCTTGATGAGACCAGGGAGATTAGTTGTTATTCCTGTACCTCTTGGTATATGCTTGCTTGATCCTGAGGTGATGACTGCATCTATTCTTAGCATGCTGAAAATATTTAATCATGGAAGATGTAGTGACAGAGGTGCTTTTAGTGTACACATTCTAGTTCATCACAGTATAGCTTATCAGCCATGGCATTCACATCAAAGGGTTATATGCTGGATTTCTGGAGCCGCCAAGACATATCTAGAAATATCTGAACATATGGCTCGTGTTGGTACAGTTTGCAGTCCTTGCTATGTTAATGTAATTGATTTCGGTGAATGTGATGATGAAAAGCCTGAGAAGCTAGAAGCTCTTGTTGCTGCAGTCCATAGTGGTGGCACCAGTCATATAATTCATATCCCTGCAGGAGGTGTCCTTTCTGATATCATCTTCAGTTCACCATTATAATCAGAAGACCGAGGAAATGCCTCTGGTGCTGTTGCTAGTGGAGTATCGAGTTTTGAATTTTGAGTGCCACAAAACAATTCTCTCATGCAACGGAAGTGTGGTGGTTCAAGTCAACTTGATCTCCTTGTGGTTCTACTTTGGGTTGGGAGCACCAGAATGCATATTCTCACTTGTGAGTTATCTCAACCATGGCTGCCACCTGCCCACGGTCAATTTGTTCAAATACCGCTCCATTGCTATCAGTGTTGTGTTGTTGAGTCAGCTAGTGCTCTGCGTGTACATCAGATTTGGTGGGAGCTAAGGAAGCAGTTAACTCCACCATGCCCATGTACATCACCATCTCTAGCTCTGCATACTCAGTCGATGTTGTTCTATCATGTTCTGCATTTGAAAAAGCTGCTGTTCGGAAGGTGTTTGAGGGACTGCTCGCTCAGAATACATTGCATCTTTCAATCCTCGGTGATAGCGTCCAACTCCGGCCACTTCCTTGGCCATCTTTCTCTGGTTATGCAGCTCCTGTACTCTTGAAGCTATCACGGTCAGTTGTTCCTCCTTGGGTGTCCTTTTGGTGGAAACATATTGCTGCTATGCTCCAAGTGGTAGGACAGAGGTTTGGAATTGTGACATGCTGCATCTTGCCACAACTTCCTTGGATGTCATTTGATCCAGGCCCTTTGTTCAAGCTCGAGCCACACTATGGTTCCAATGGTGATTCATTACCGTATACATTGCTCCTATTCCTTGATAGTAGAAGTATTCAGGGAACTATACAAAGACAGCCTCCGATGTGTTTACTGAGCTATGCTGTTGCTATCATGACAGTCACCACAAGTGTACAGTTGTTCTTTCAGTACTATCCAAGTGGAGTAGAATACGTGCTTGCAAGGCCATCATCATCTACACTTGGACGGGGCTTGACATATGGACTGGAACTCTATGACCCAAGAGATTCAAGTCGGAATTACAACAAACAGTGGCATCTTATATTTATGCAGCTGCAACTCCAGGCTGCTGTTTGTAGAGAAGACTGTATGAGTGCTCATAAACTGAGGCTGGTTATTGCTGCTACAACAAAAAATGACACTGTAGGCAGAGCTATCTCTGACTTAAATATGGCTATGGATGAGGAGCGCTACAAGGTCGCAGCAATCAGAGATCATGCTGGTGCAGGACTGCTGGGGTGGTGGTCTGGAATTTCTGGAAATTTGTCCAATCCATATGGTCTTATAATTCGGATAAGTACTGGGAATGGTGGTGAATCTGGTGACGGAAGTGATATTGAAGCCTTGGTTTCAATTGATTTTATGAGTGAGAATAACAACGACTATGCTTCTCATCCATCTGCTGAAGCTTTTGCTAGATTCGAAAAAAGAGATCACTTCTCGTTTTCCTTCTATACTGAAGCATACAGTAAAAAGGTAGCTGCTGGAAAGGCCCAACAGAGTTCAAAGAAACTAGTTGGTTTGCATACTGGTCAGCAGGATTATGGTGGTTTGGTTCGGCAGGATTGGGTAGCAGCTTGCAGAAGGGTGTTTCAGTTGCACTTACTACATGTTGATACATATGGACACAGCCGTGTCCACCGTGGTCGGAGCCGTATCCACCGTGGTCGGAGCCGTAGCCGATGTAGGTGAAGCAGTGGTCGACGCAGACTGAATCCACGCCTCCTCCGGGGTCATGGCGATGAAGTCGTCGGAGCCGGTGGTCCAGGTGATCTGGCCAACGGTGAACGTGAGGCCGTTCGGTGTAGCCATGGAGCCGGAGATGATGACCGTCTTGTTTGCTTGGGAAGCAGTACGCACACCCCCTACCTGGCGCGCCACTGTCGACGAAATATGGTCGACAGTCTACCTAAGGGTATACCCAAGGTAGTAGATTGTCGGCAGACAGATGCGCAAGCCACAAACAAGACGATGACGCAAGACAGACACAAGGTTTTATCCAGGTTCGGCCGCCAAGAAGGCGTAATACCTACGTCCCGCGTCTGATTTGTATTGCTGTATGTCAATGAGAGATGTTTTTAGAGAGGTCCCCTGCCCGCCTTATATAGTTCGGGGGGCAGGGTTACAGATCTGGAAACTAATCCTAGACAGTTACAATTGCCATATGTTGCCAGATAAGGATTCCTATTCTAACCGACCAGGATCTTGATTGATCGCCAAATCCGCCTTGACTCCTTGCGCGGGACTCCGATCAGGTTAACCGGGCCGCACGTCGTCTTTTGGTGGACCGAACCCATCGATCCGGGCCGGCCCAAGCTTAGCCATAAGGGTATAGGGGTTAATACCCCCACAGTTGCTAACAGTTAATGAGCACATAATCTTCCATTTAGAAAATATAATTAGTCAAAAACACAGCTAAGCCAAAGTTTTGAACCTAGGTGGGTGAGTTCTCGAACGCGCCCAACGACCGCCATCCTCCCTCTCTGCTGCACCCGAGCTCCGCCGCTTGTCTTCCTCCCTCTCCACTGCGCTCACCGACCATCGCACGGCCTTCTCCACCGGACCTGTCGTAGCCTTCTCCACTAGAGCGGCGAGCTCTGCGCCACCGGCGAGCTCTATACCAGTGAACTCCGCACGCCGACGAGCCTCCATTCCTAAGCAACAAGGAGATGTTCGCTGAAAGCGCATGTTGCAAATTTATGTTTCAAGTGTTTCTGAGTATGTTGTAAGTGTATCGTATCGGTGTTGCGAAAGTAGATCGGGATGTTGCCCATGTTGCAATTGCTATGCACGTATGTTTCGAGTGTATGTTCCAAATGTTTCATCTGTATCAGACATATGTTGCAAGTGTTTTCATCTTGATGTTGCAAAAGTAGATCTAGATGTTGCATTTACATGCATGTTGCAAGCGTATGTTTCAAGTGTTTCTGGTGTTTCATACGCCTGTTGCAAGTGTTTTGTCTAGATGTTGTATATGTTTGCAATAGTTTTTAAGTGTTTTTCAGGTGTTTTGCAAGTGTTTCAGACGCATGTTTCAACTGTTTTATCTGTCTTCTTTTATATGTTGCAACTATTGCATCTGGATGTTTCAAAAGTAGATCGGGTGTTGCACAGTAGATGCAATGCTAAAAAAAATAGGTGGAACAATGGATTATGTAAAAAGGCTACTTTAAATGAGCAAGAAAAAATGATCACTTAAAATAATCAATGGAGTGTTGCAAATATATTTTTTTGGTTGGACTTCAGAATTACAGTACAGAACTATGTTGATAATATTTAGAAGACTTCCTGTTGAAAGAAACAAAGATCCACAGAATGGACAAGTGGACTCATAATTTTGACAAGGTGATTAATCTTGCTTTTACCCATTACATAAATGGAGGTATATCCAACATGAAAATAGGTACCAATGTAAGTTTAAGTGAGAAACCAAATTCTAAGCACAGAACAGGCCTCAAAAAGGATGTTGCATCATTTGAATGCAGCATGAAGAGGCATACAGATAAAGAAATGAAACAGTGATATCATTCTAATGAAGATCGAAAAACTATCACCATTAGAAAGGGAATAAAATCTCATTACTGTGACATGGCAAACATCCTCTCAGAACGGACTAAATTTACAACTGATGAGTGATTTTTTTTTGACGTACTTGTACAGAGAGCCAAATTGCCTCCATAAGCATTACTTCTTCAAGATCCACATCAAAATAATTGCCCCTGCATTAAAGGAATATACTAGTAAACAATTATTTCGAACATGATGTGGTTGTGGTGCAATACACGATTAGGGAAGTCCCAATGGTGTATTGATGATGGTTTCTATCCTCATTAAATGACTTGCCACGTAAGCAAAATGCTGACATGGCAACGTAATTAATGAAGAAAGAGAGCAAAAATCCTAGAAATGGTTTCCTTATGAAGAAATCAGGTCTTCTCTTGACCCAATGCACCAAGAAACCATGAAATCGACATTGGGGAGAAACCACCAGTTTCCAGGGGGCTCGTGCCACACTCCCATTGGAGGAAGAAGATAAAGTTGGGAGAGAGAAAGATAAAATAATTATTACATAAAGACACCTCCACTGTGGAAGGTAATTTTTATAGATAATTTCTTGTGCTATGAAAACCGCATCAGTTTCTTTCATTGGAACTGCTCTTATGCCTCCTACTGTATTCATATTGGAAATACCTTCACAAGAAAAGTCTCCAAGCCAATATTTTGCCTAGCTATTATTATTTGACGACAGGGCTGTCCAATGCCATACAAATATGCCTGATAGCGAGGGACAATACACCGCCAACTACAGAAAGTACATTATAAGTTTCTAAATGAGTGTATTCCCAAAAGGGGCAAGATAGAATTAGTTTGTTTTGCCTAAAGAAGTTCTGATCCCCAACAATTCGACGCAACAATCGTCTTGTTCGCTTGGGCTTATTTGGCTTATAAGTCATACTTTTTTAGTCAACGAATAATATTTTTCTCTCACACCAAATCAGTCAATAGTACTTTCAGCCATGGCTTATCAGCCAAATAAGCCCAAACGAACAGGGGAATAATCGCAATGTATCCAACAACATTGAATGTAGAAAGGGAAACAATCCTAATGCATTAATGCAACAGCAATCACACTACAATCACTAGTGCATCTAGAATGCACAAATAAGTTCGTTAGTATAAACTGCATCTGTTTGAAGGCTCCAGAATTCCTCAATGTTTCAATTCTGAATGCTGCACTTCAAACGAGAGAGCAGTAGAGCACCACTGCCTTGCGGATTGCTTGGAACGAACGGGGCCAGCAATTCAATAACATCAAACAGAATGCACGAAAAAAAATGGAAAATCGACAGTTCTAAACACGTACTGTCCGAGCGCAGCCAGCGCACTCGCCGGTGGCAGGCCACGCGCCTCCCTAGCGCCGCCGGAGTGCCGTGCCTGCTGTCCGCCGCCAGAGGCCGCCGGCCTGCTCACGGCACGGATGAATGAATGAAACCGTAGCCTCCCCGTGTTTGAGCACCGAGAAGACGAACGAACAGCATAGAACAGGGGCAGAACACCAAATTCCCTTTATTAAGCATCAACCAGATTTCCAATTATTCATTTAAAAAAATTCCATTTTGCGGGTACAACTTTTGCGCCGGGAAGGAGCGCCCGAATCCCGGCTTCCTAGACATGGCTTTCAGCTCGTCGTCGGTGAGCCTGGCGACGAAGCCGTCGAACAAGTAATTGTACGTCAGGATGATACGGGGTTCGCCATGGGCTGTGAACTCGTCGGGGAGGTACGACGCGTACCACTCCAGGCGGGCGGCATCGTCCGTGACCACGCCGTCCCGGCGTGGCTTGAGGAGGATGATGTACGTCTTGTAGTCTGCTGCTGCTGATGCGGGTGCTGCTGCTGCTGCTGGGTGGCTGGCGTTCATGGTGGCGGCTGCAAACAACACCAAGCTGCAGATCATTGCAACCCGCATGGCGCCTACAGCCTACTGCTGCAGCTGACATTACCATGGATGAGATGGGAAAGACGAATCAGAAAGACACGCTTCGTGTTGAATGGGCAAGGAAGAACGTAACCCCGGTTATCGTCTCGTTTCTTTTCTTTCTTTCTTTTTTTGTCTTCTTTCTTTCCATATAATAACCTTCCTTCCGATCCCACGACGTCGTACCACCACACGATCCAAGAGATGCCGTGCGAGACTGCTAGTGCACCCCGATCATTGCCGATTATTCCTTCTTCCTTCCATTCGTCGTTGCAGATTACTGTAATCGCGGATTGCTGCTGTTTATTTCCTTTTACCAGATGCCGTAGATAGTGCTGAGCTTGAATCCCATAACGAAGCAGCAAGCTAGCATTCATAATCCCATATATATAATTAGTGGACCCCCTATAAGGCCTACTTTGGCAGCAGGGGTCAATTAGCCCAGGGATGATTGCCCCCGACGTGGATTTTTTTGGGTTCTCTCATTCCCGCCTCCAATCCTGGGTACATATCCACGTTGGGGGAATTTCCCTGCTGCTATCAGGGAGTGCTGTTTTATTGAGAATTCGCACAATTGAAGCGAAGTGACCACTCCAATACAGATAATTGAGAAACTATGTTTTAAAAATCAGGAAAAAAAACAAGAAAAAAAAAACAAAAGGAGGTGAATAATATAAGAAAGTCACTACATATCAATGTCAGAGCCACAAAATCATGAAAAATCTCAGGAACAAGTCTCTCGCACCATACAAATACAGACATATCTCAAACCTTAAATCAAATCTAATTAATGTAAAAGTATTATCTGATATCGAACCAACTACTAGTAGCATTCATACAAATTCTTCTACATCCTTACATCCAATAGAAAATGGTGAAGTCATAATCATATACTTCACTCATCTCGAAATTGACCATCCTTACATCCAATGTCTTCTGGCATCTAGCCAAGTACTGCCCAAAGTTACCAGAATTATTTCAAATCATGCACTGCTTCTACTGAAACATCTGCAGTAACACAAATTAATGAAAATGGTGATCTCTCATGACATGTCTGCCTCTAGAAAATGCACTTCTATATGGCCAAAATACATATTACATAGACAACAGGTGCAAACTGATCAAATTGCACTAAGGAAAGTGAACTGATCAAATTTTCTCATAATTAAACTAGAGCCACGCAGGTGCAAACTGCTGTCGCTGCTAGTATGTTACGCTACTAAAATAGACAGCAGGATTTCAGACGAGCGCCATCTCAAATGGATTGTGCGTTGCCTCAAACTGTGTGAGTCTACTAAAATGACATGAAGCACTAAAATAGACTGCAGACCAGTGAAGTGTGCTTCTGTTACCGATGGTTAGGCTAGAATCAACATAAAAAGTAGCATCACATTATAGTGTACTTCTCTTGCATTGGAACTTGAACCTCTGAGTTTTTTAACAAAATATTTAGGAGACCTATATATTGATAGAAACAGTACAGTTCTCAGTTATTGTCATATAGGCTTAGCAGAATCTATATAACATATATAGATGGAACCCACTAGGTATCATTAACTTCTATTTCTCTCAACTCTCAGCTAGCCACGTCAGTCATCTTTCAATTTAGCACGATCTGATCATGAGCTCCAAGTTCCATCCGCGCCATTCACCGCTACATGCCTGCATGCATCATGTCGAGTAGTTCATCTCCAGTCCCTGCCGCTTCCACTCCCCCCCCACCCCACAAATTCAATTACTCGAAAGTGGAAACTGTTGCCACCAGCACATCTCCTTTAAGTCTATGACCGTGTATATATCCCCAAGGATCCTCTATCCGATCAACCTACGCGTACTCCGTATTGCTTTCTTCACTTGAGCAGATGAGGATCGTGTTTCCGGTCATCTGTAGTGCAGATAGCAGATCGATCGAGTTGTAATGCTAATGCATGGCATCTTCTTACTTGCGCTTGCAGGTGGTGTCCGTGACCTTCATCAGATCGCCATGAAGCTTCCAATGGCAGGTGATAGAAGGACAGGTCGCCGTGGAGCGGTACACATGGCAACCGTCGACTGCATGGAGGAGGAGATGAGGCTGGTTACGCCCACCGTCAATAACAAGGCGTTGCACGGCCACGCCAAAGCCGGTGGCCAAGAGGAAGATCGGGGAGGCCAACGTGAGGCTGTGTCCACAGTTCATGGACGCTGAGGAGTTCGGCTTTTACTCGCAGCGGATTCCGGTGGACTTCTTCAGCATTGGCATCAACAACGCCAAGACGGGGAAGATCTGCCACGTGCACTCATGACTCGCCACAACCTCGACATCAACGAGACCGCACGCGCTCCACGCCGCCATCGCCAACGAGTACCTGAACAAACAGGCTTCTAACACCAAGCTGCAGCTAGCTGTTTATTGCCACGACGCCACCCCTCGCATGCATGTGTATGTACTTAGCAGACCATTCTCCATGTACATGGAGTCCCATCCCCCAACATCCTCTTCACCTGACATGGAGTCCCTTCTCCTCCCTCTGACGCAAAGGCCAACAACCATCGGCCTCTTCTATTCCTCATGTCCAATCACCTTTTTTACCTCTTATTTTTATGTTGGTCTATTTAATTAGAATAGATGAAAGACCAAGTTCTTCTGGCCATCCAACATAAACTTCTATCAAATTGGCGTCTCTAATATCCCACGGCAACGCGTGGGGTATTCAACTAGTTAGTGAGACATTGAAGTAACAAAGGAATTGTACATAGTGTAATAGCTGGCATTGGTACTGTCGGTGTTTCGGACCGGAGGTCCTCAACCAACTAGTAAATATGAACTACGTGCCTCTAATCCCGGATGGTGATGCAAAGAGACACAAGGTTTATACTGGTTCAGGCAATTGGTGCCCTACGTCCAGTCTGAGAGATCGATCTTGTATTCCTTGCACCGGAGTGCTTGTAGTAGGGGGTTATAAACTGGATGAGAGAGGGAGCTAGTCCCAGGTCTCGGCGTGGAACGATATGGGTTGCTTGAGACGTTGCTCTCAGGCAGCTTGGGAGAGCGTATGTCTACGT